GTTGCAGGTCCTTCTGCTTGGCTGTCATCTCTCATAGCAGCTGATGATGTTGGCTCATCTGCAGCTGTTGTGGGGCACCCCACTGTTGCAATAGCTGCTGAAGGAGCTGTTGTTACTGAGTTGCCTGTTGTCGCTGGCTCTCTGTTAGCCACTTGCACCACTGCTCTGGATCCATGCTGCTTGGGTTCTCCTATCTCCCCCAGTTTACCCTTGTGTCGGATTAGGAAGCAAATGCCCACATTCTCCACCATGTCATAGGTTGTATTTCTAAGACACCCCCTTGGGATGAGAGTGGGCACCTCTCTTGTCCCAAACATCCTTCTCTGGCTGTAGGCATTGCTGTACTGCCTATTCGGAGTCTGAAGTGGAGCCCTCCGCTGTTAGTCTTAGGGAGGCAGCTCCCCCTTTCTTCTGGGTATAATAGCAATCCAAAATAAAGAAATTAAACAAAATAATCCTGTAAAATGTTGGAAATGATTAGAAAAGGGGTAGATAATAAGACAGAAAATATCATATTGCCTCTCTATATATCCATGGTACACCCACATCTTGAATATTGTGTGCAGATCTGGACGTCCCATCTCAAAAAAGGTATAATGGAATTGGAAAAGGTACAGAAAATGGCAACAAAAATTATTAGGGGTATGGAACACCTTCTATGAGGAGAAATTAATAAGACTAGGACTTTTCAGCTTGGAAAAGAGACGATTAAGGGGGGATAGTTTATGAAATCTGGACAAAGTAAATAAGGAAGTGTTATTTACTCTTTCTTATAACACAAGAACTAGGGGTAACCAGCAGTGTACCCTCTAATTTTTTACCTGCATGTGTGGAATGAATTTTATTATGGAGGTGATGCATGGAGGGGATGGGGCCAAGGGGTTTGGAGTGTGGGAGAGGGCTCAGGGCTGGGCCAGAGGGTTGGGGTACAGGCTCTGGCTGGGGGAGGTGAGCTCTATGGTGAGGCCAGGGATGAGGGGTTCAGGGTGCAGGAGGGAGCTCAGGGCTGGTACAGAGGGTTGGGGTGTGGGGGGTGAGGGCTCCGGCTGGGGGTGCAGGCTCTGGGCTAGGGATGAGAGGTTTGGGGTGCAGGCTGCCCCAGGGAGAGAGGACTCCCTCCAGCCTTCTCTTGCGGCAGCTCTGGGCCAGGGCGCCTCTCCCCAGACGCGGCAGCTCCAGCGGGGCGGGGCTGGGCTGGGCTAGGGGAGGGGTGCCTCTTCCCACCTGTGTGGCCCTTGATAGACTGCTGCATGGCCGCTTGGCATCTTACAGTGAATTTAGGTAACCAGATGAAATTAATAGGAAGTAGGTTTAAAACAAACAAAAGGAAGTATTTCTTCAGGCACTGCACATTCAACCTGTGGAACTCTTTGCCAGAGAATGTTGTGAAGGCCAAGGCTATAACAGGGTTAAAAAAAAGAACAAGATAAATTCATGGAGAATAGGTCCATCAATAGCTATTAGCCAGAATGGGCAGGGATGGTGTCCCTAGCCTCTGTTTGCCAGAAGCTGGGAATGGACAACAGAGGATGGATCACTTGATGATTACCTGTTCTGTTCATTCCCTCTGGGGCACCTGGCACTGGCCACTGTCAGAAGACAGGATACTGGGCTAGATGGACCATTGGTCTGACCCAGTATGGTCGTTCTTATGTTATGTTCTGCAGCCCACAAAACACTCCGGGCTCAAATCATTTTTTCTCAGAAAGCAAAAGGTAAATAATCTCTACAAAGAGAGCTGGATTCCTAACCTTGAGTGCCTTAGGGGCCCAGGCTGCATGCTCTGTGATTTGATTTAAAAAAAAAAAAAAAAATGAAGTAAAGATGGTCCTTCCACCTCTCCAGAGGGTCCAAGCAGCTGAAGCTCTTCAGCAGCTCTGCTGGTAAGCAGTCCCTGCTCCAAGGGGTTTGGGAGATCTATGTTCCCATTGTGCTTCTCTAAGAGTGCCATCCTGTGCTGTGTTTGGATCCTCCCTTTGAAGGAGCTCCTCTCCAGGTTTGAAGGGCCTCACAGGGGCACTGGATTTGACCTGACTGTGCCCACAGGATCTCTTTAACCCCTTCCTCACTGGCCTCCCACCACTGCATAGTACTGGCAACTCTATACCTGACAGTTTCTTAATCACCTAAGCAATGAATTTGACGCTTCCCCCAAAAAAATGTTTCAGAGAGGAGACAATAAAACTATTTCAGAGAGTCTTCCAAGCCTAAGGATAAACATCCCTCTTTTCTTTCATTCATCCTCAAAGCCTTACCCAAGACACTGAATTCAGTTCCTGTGCCAGCCAGAATGATGCAAGTCACTTCTTTTTCCATAAGTGGAGCATGTTGCCTTCACAATACTTCCAGAGGCTCATACCTCCCTGCTAGCAAAGGTTTGTGCCCAAATATCTCAATCTCTGGTACCATGCAACCTGCTAAAAAGCCTACCCACACGATGTGACCGGTGACAAATCTATTTAGAAATAAATATAGCTGTCTGGAATGGTACCATTACAGAGCAATCACAGGACATACAGTTGTTTTCCAGAACTCAGACAGTAATGACAATACTTCTGTTGGCAGACATGATGCCACAGGACCCACCCTTGCTAAAGGGGAAACACTTGTCTGGCTAATGAACACAGTGTAAATCCAAACTGAACGAGATCTAAAGTTGTGCATGGGTGGATGGAGGCTAAGTGAGGCACAGATCCATCAAAATATTGGGAGACCCCTCAAGGAAGATTCTTACTTCTGCCTCAAGCTTCCACCACTCTCAGAGAAAAGCTCTTCCCTACTAGCTCAGCCCCTCACATCCAAAAAGAAACTCTTCCTCCCAGTCCCCTAGAATAGATTCCTTTTCCCTCCAACTCCCAAGTCTTTGATCTTCCTGCCAAATTATACCGTTCGGCTCACTCCAGCTACTAGGCAGTCAGTCAGCAGCAATCCAATCAACTGTCCAGCATGCTTCCATTTGTACTCTGTCTCGTACTTCACTGCTTTGTCCCAGTGAGTAATCTGTGAGGCCTGAACCTCAGAGATTCTGCTGCAGGGCGTGATCCAAAGCTGACTGAAGCCAATGAGAGCCTTTCCATTGACTTCAGTAGACTTTGGAACAGGCCCTTAATCAGCTCTTGGAGTTGTGAAGAAATATGGATTTAGGATTCATCTCTCCCTTTTGGCAGAAGAAAAGGAAGTTGGAATGCTCAGGGACTGGGCAAGAAACCCTTCTGGGTGGCTGTGGCTACGTACTCAGGGCAGCAAGTGGAAAAGTTAGTTGTACTGGATAACTACAATTACAGTAATTTCCGGAAGCACAGTTCAGATCAAAATGAAGAGATCACTATGGACCTACAGCATCTCTCTCTTAAATCGTAAGGGAGGCATTCCGATACAACGGCAATGGGAATACAAAACCTTACACTAAATATAAATCCTAAAATAAATGTCACAGCTCTAACTGCATGAATGATGCCTCTAGAATTAATCTTATTTTGACAATTCTAAATTTGATTTGACAGAATAAAAAAATTAATCTAAATATATTTTATGCCAACCCATCACATTTCCACTTGTAAGGTCTAAGATCGGTTGAGAACCATTTCAGCATTCCAACCTGGTAGAGATCAGGTATAGCGTAAGTTCTCATGCTAGATTTTCAGATGGCGTGGGGGAAATGGGATGTCCCATTCCACTCTGAAGTATCAACTATTAGCGGATGTATACATAGCAGCAGCAACAGATGCTGTGTGGAAGTGTTGTTAAGCAGGTGGAGGAGTGGCTCTCTAGAGAGCTGAACTTCGTTAATACAGAAACTAACAATAAGATGACAAGCGCAAACCCCAGGAAGTGGTTGAGTTTTGACTCTACAGTGTGTGGAATTCATTTTAAGAATAGGACAGGGAAAGTCATCCTCCTGCTCAGGTTACTATAAGAAGTCCACAGATTAATTAGTGGGAAAAGTTACCTTCTTCATTCTGACGATGTGAACTGGTGTCTTAGGCCGCAGAAAATAAACATATTTCATAGAAGATTATGTTATATTCTGAGGCAATAGTAAGTTTTCTACAAAATGTTACGGTTTAATCCTCTAGCAACATTTTTGGAGCTAACAGGGCTCTCCCACACAGGGGAAAATATAAATTTACGTGATCAAAGGTAAGCAGTGGTACGAGAGAAAGTTGTTTTAAGAAAATTAGGTAAGGAAGGCAGTACTTTGCATAAAGAGAGGGTAGCTGGTTTACTTCCTTTTCAGCTTCTTCCCCTTACTAAAGGTTGGGGGAATTAGTTTTAAAACACTTGTGTATTGGCGTGTTTCTAGGACTAACACCAATTTCTTTGGTTCTCATATAAGCTTATAGGAGCCTCTCTTACTGCTCTCTTAAATTCCATACATCAAGCAGGAGAATTCTGCACTTTTGGAAGAATCTTCACAAATTGCACCTAGTCAGCACAGACAAGCAGGACTGCTTTATATTTCCTTCCATTCCCAATGCCTGGTGCAAGGCCACACCAGGGAAAATAGCTACCCATTCACCTCTGATAATTCAGATTCCTCTGAAAAGAGGCTGCTGCCTATTTAGCCACTAATAACTTAGTATGAAAAGAAGCCATACGTTCTCCTCTAAACTGACCATTCAGAAAATAAAATTAAATGGATTGACTTTCCTCTTATTAAAACAGAGCGTGAGAGGAGGGCACACTGGAATTATGACTAGAAATAAATAATTATTAGCAACTGGTACAGAAAAAAAAACAATTCTGGCCAAGATTTTCAAAAATAGATGCCTAAAGTTAAGCTCCTTGGTGTGGGTTTAAGCACCTAAATAAGTGGCCTGATGTTCAAGAGCGCTAAGCACCAAGTAGCTCCTATTGAATTCAGTTCTCAACCAGCCCCAAATGTGGTAGTGAAAATATACTTGAACCATAATGTTAGGTGTGTTACAACAGCAACATGTAAATAAAAACCTTATAAGATGTCTTAAGACAAGGCCATTTAGTGTACAGTAGATCCCTACCTTAGTGGAGAAATAAACGGTACACAGAGGAGCAAAATCACTCCTATTTCAGTATACAGGAAGGTTGCAACTGCTGTCCACTGAAAAGTCATCTTCTCCCTGGACGGCCTGCAGGGGGGGGACAGAGCAGTCACTGCAAATTGGCTTTGAGGCACGCAGGATGAATCCCGCAGCGAGCAGAGTTCAGGCTGAGCCAAAGCTTCCCCATTTCAAGTTAAAACCGGATATTTAAGGCCCGAACACGCCCTCATGCCCGGGAGGGGTCTCAAGGTGGGTGACTGGGCAAAGGGCGGGGATTTTAAGTAACTTAGTCCGGAGGACGCGCAAGCCTCCCCTCCCCTCCCCGCATGAAGAGCTCGGGCGGCCTCGAGACTGCACAAACAGCCTCTCCTCCGCCCAGGGCCAGGGCGCTGTATTGAGGGCAGCCGCCCAGCGCCGCCGGGGAGGAATCATGTCTGGGCGCTACAGGCGACTCCTTTCCCTCGTGCGTGGGGGGGGGCAGCTGAGAGATTCCCCCCCCTTCCCGTTCCCAAGACAACGCTCCTGCACAGGGAGCCCCCAGCCCTTCCCCGGCGCAGAGGCCAAAGCCTCTGCCAAGCGCCAGGAAACGCCGCCGCCGCCGACCGGCCTGGGCAAGCTCCGGAGCACGGAGCTCGGCTCAGCCGGGCCTGCCCAGGCTGCTGGGATGTGCGGCCGAGGCACGGCGGGGGACCGGCACGGAGCGAGGAGGGTGTCAGGCTCGCAGTGACTCACACGGAACAAAATCCTGCCTCCCGCCTCGGGGCAGCCGCGGAAACCTGCCTCCAGCCCGCGGAGCGTGAGGCCGGCCGGGCCTGCCTGAGGCGGGGAAAAGGGGGTGGCCTGACTAGCGACGCCTTGTCCTCCGCACCCGCTGACGGACGCCTGAGGCGGGCCGGCGGGCTCGGTCACAGCCTCCCCGCCCAATGGGAGGCCGGGGCGGGACTGCGGGCGGGCGGGCCCCCCCGGGGCGGAGGGCGTCTGGGGCGGGGACGCCTCGGGCATAGGGGGGGCGCCTCCTTCTCCCCAGGGAGCGAGTGTTGGGCTGGGCCGTGTTCATCCCAGCCCCCTTACCCCCGCCGTGACTGGCCCTCTTCTCACCTTCCCACGCCCCTGGTGGCTCTGCCCTCCTGCGGCTTCTGGCTTTTCTCCCGCCTCCACGCCCCTGTTGCCTCTCGCCACTGACAGCAGCCGCCGCTGGGTCTGGCAAAAGAGGCCACCGCTGCCTGCCCAAGTCAGGCTCCCGCCCCACCTTTACCTCTACGGGTGCCAACCCTCCAGGATGGGCCTGGAGTCTCCCAGAATCGACATCGATCTCCTGGTGACTATTTAAAGCAACCCAGGAGATTTTAATAGGATATTTTAAGAAAATGACGTTATGTCATGTTGGGGGGGAATCTCCCGGAATAGCTTCAGTCAGAGTTGGCAACCCTGTTTACCTCTGGCTCTTCCAAAACTGGCTCCTCCGGGAGAACTCCACCCCATAGGAACTCCAGGGGGTGCGGTGGGGGCAGAGCAATAATATTGAGCATGCTTAAAGCATGTTCACAGTACTACAGACATTATAGGTGCCACTGGGGGCGCTGCCTATTGTTAAGGTTGCCAAATGCTTCCCCTGACATGACCCTGTTTACAGCCGCTGATAACTGTGCCAGTCTTTAGCCATTTGGGCTGAAATTTCTCATGCTGGGTGTCAGGCTTGGTTTTTTTAATGTCACCCAGAACCGTTCAGCTGTTTCCAGAAATGAGACTAGGTAATATACATTGTTTTGCTCTTGTTAAATTCTTGAGACATTTTATTTGAAACGCTTGGATGCCCCAACCAGGGCTTGAAGTTTGGTGGGAGAGGGGGGTGGCCTTTGTGTCAGAACCAGGCCTTTGGCAGGGGTCCTGTGGAGTGTACAGAATGGGATCATGTAATTGAAGACTACCAGAATACATATGCACAAGAAGGCTCAATTGAGGTTGTGATGTTCCCCGCTGGTGTTATCTGGACCCGTGATCTGCTAGATCACTCCAATCCTTGACTCTGGGAGCCAGCCTTACCCTGCTCTGCTGTGAGAACCCCAACTCCTGGGCTGTTCACACACAGCCTCTGGCATGTAAACTGCTCCCAGCTACTTGCAACTGAATGACACTAGTCAATATCTCCAGTCCCAGACATCACCCTAGGAACCTCCATCTTACAGTGTCCAGTTATGCCGGCTGGACACTGCAAGCTTATATGAGTTAATCAATTTAACAAAGAAATTGATATGTACAAGGCTTGTTATCCCAAGGAGAGTCTCTGACATGCTTCAAACCAAATGCACTGCTTCAGGTAGAATAAACAAACAGATTTATTAACTATAAAAATAGATTTTAAGTGATTATAAGTCCAAACATAAGTCAGACTTGGTCAAATGAAATAAAAGCAAAACACATTCTAAGCTTATCTTAACACTTTCAATGCTCTTACAAACTTAGATGCTTCTCACCACAGGCTGGCTGGTTGCTCTTCAGCCAGGCTCTCCCCTTTGATCAGCTTGGTGTGGTATCTGTAGATGTAGGTGGAAGAGAGAGGAAGAGCATGGCAAAGTCTCTCCCTTTTATCATGCTCTTTCTTCCCTCTTGGCTTTGAGCCTCATCTTCAGAGTCAGGTGAGCATTACCTCATCGCAGACCCAAACTGGCCAAAGGAAAGGGGGTGACTCACTTGAGAGTCCAACAGATCCTTTTGTTGCTGCCTAGGCCAGTGTCCTTTGTTCCTGTAAGGCAGGGCTGGGTTTGTCCCATACCTGCCCTGATGAGGTGTGAACTGCCTCTCTGCTCTTGGAGAGTTTTTGCCTGGGCTTATTTTAAGCCATGAGGGTACATATTCAGCCTCATAACTACATACATGAAATTATAACCTATAACCTTAATGTAACAACAATGCTCAGTGCATCATGAGCCTTCCGAAGACACCTGACATGACAAACTTTGCATTGGATACCACATAATCATTTTACAAGGATGGGGGTGCTGAGGTACAGAGTGTCACAGAGGTTTCACAGATAACCTTAATTCTGGCATTCCCTAACTTTTGAATGTTTGACTTTCCAACGTTAATAATGTCCTTTTAATGTAATTTTGTGTGTGTAATTAAACCTTATAAATATTGTTATCACCATTTTACATACAAAGAAACAGAGACAGAAAAGTGCCTTGACACTGAGCCAGACATAGCCAAGATTAGAACTAGGACTTCTTGCCTCCCACCCAGTCCTCTCCAAATAGCAGGACAGCAGCTTAAAGAGTACCAGAGGTATTTACTCACTGTCTGGCAACATGAGGCGCTTCCTGCAGTGTGGGTAGCAACATGGTGTCTGTCCCTGGCACCTGCTGGTCTTTAGATCTCAGGTAAAATGAAGTCAGCCTAAAAACTATACTGAATTTGATTCTAAGATATTCAGTATGGTGGTCTTCTTTTCTTTGCTCTCTCTGTGATACCTTGCCTGCTGGTGATACTTTTTCCTTATTTGAATATTATGTATTTATATAGCATCATGTAGCACTGGTGTTGGAATTTGGTTTTCTTTTCTTTTTTACTCTGATCAATTGATTTATTTGGAATAATATGACCCAGATTAAAACAATTTTTTAAAATGTATTGTTATTCATGTAGTTTTGCAGCACAGTGTTCATGGCAGGTTATATGTATATCCCTACTCTGAAGTGCCTGTCATCTAAGGTTCTGATCTTCTTAGCATAGGATTCATCATGCAATACATTCTATATGGGCAGAAGTCAACCCACACATACCATCTGGCAAGAGCAGAGGACCATGTAACTAAACCTTCAACCACTGAAGATAACATAGGGTTGTGAGGCGCCCGGTTTTGGTCCAGAACGTCTGATCAAAAAGAGACCCTGTCGGCTCTGGTCAGCACCACTGACTGGGCAGCTAAAAGTCCGATCGGCAGCACAGTGGGGCTAAGGCAGGCTTCCTGCCTGCCCTGGCTCTGCATGGTTCTTGGGAAGCGGCTGTCATGTCTGGCTCCTAGGCGCAGGGGTGGCCAGGGAGGCTCCGTGCACTGCCTCTTCCCTGAGCGCCAGCTTTGCAGCTCCCATTTGCCTGGAACTATGGCCAATGGGAGCTGCAAGCGCAGTGCTTGGAGACGGGGGAAGCGCAAAAAGACACCTGGCTGCTCCTGCGCCGAGGGTCCACAAGGACATGTTGGCCACTTCCAGGAGCTGCCTGAGGTAAGCACTACCCAGAGCGCACACCCCTCACCCACTCCCGCATCCCAACTCCCTGTCCCAGCCTTGAGCCTCTCCCTCACCCAAACTCCCTCCCATACTCCAAACCCCTTGGCCCCAGCCCGGAGCCCCCTTCTACACCCCATCCCTAGCCCCACCCCAGAGCCTGCATCCCCCAGCTGGAGTCCTCACCCCCGCCCACATCTCAACCCCTGCTCCAGCCCTGAACCCCCTCCTGCACCCAAACTCCCTCCCAGAGCACGCAGCCTGTTCCCCCACACTCCGAACCCCTCAGCCCCAGCCCAGAGCCACAATCCCTGGCCCCACCCCAGAGCCCTGCACCCCCAGCTGGAGCCCTCCCACACCCCAACCCTCTGCCCCAGCCCGGAGTCCCCTCCCGTACCCAAACTCCCTCCCAGAGCCTACACCCAAACTTTCTTCCAGAGCTTGCACCTTCTCCTGCACCCCAAACCCTTTAGCGCCAGCCCAGAGCCCCCTCCTCCACCCCAAACTTCTCATCCCTGGCCCCACACCAGAGCCTGCACCCCAGCTGTAGCCCTCACCCCCCCACATACCCCAACCCTCTGTCCCAGCCCAGTGAAAGTGAGCGAAGGTGAGGGAGAGTGAGCGATGGAGGTAGGGGCAGGGGCAGGGGCAGGGAGTTGTATGCCCAGGGTCCAGCAAATTCAGGGCCTGGGGGGCCCAACTCCACCAATGTTCATGTCCGGTTCTCTTCCCCGGCCCTGCCTGCTGCCCCTGCGCGCCTCCCCTGGAGTGTCCCTTGGCCCCGCCTGCCACCCCTGTGTGCCTTCCCCGAGTGTCCCTGCCTGCCCTAGGCAGCAGGCAGCTGCCCCCTGCAGCTCCACACTGCACTCCCTCACCGGCCACTGATGGCTACAAGGGAGCGGCACCAGGGGCAGGCTGAGGTGGCTACTGCACCTGCGGGGGGGGGGGGGAGGAGGCGCATGGCAGCCCCCCCCCCCACAGCAGGTGACTCCGAGTAGCAGCCTAGGGCAGCTTGGGTGAGTGCTGGGAGGCCCGGGGAAGAGCCGTTCTCCCCCTGAGCTCGCTGCTGCCGGTGGGGAAAGGGCTAGGGGGAGCCTGCCTGCTGTACCCCAAACTCCTCATTCCTGGCCCAGCCCCATGCCTTGCACCCCAATCCTCTGTCCCAGCCCAGAGACCGCACCCAGCACCCAACCCCCCTCCCAGAGCCCACATGCCCTCCCACACCCCCTCCTGCACCCCAACCCCCTGTCCCTGTGAGTGTGGTGGAGGAACCTGTTCTGGGCACCACCAAAAATTATACAAACCTGCTGCCCCTGGGTAAGGGGATGGAGTGAGTAGGGGCGGAGCCTTCGAGAAGGGGCAGGGCAGGGGCAGGGCAAGGGTGTTCAGTTTTCTGCAATCAGAACGTTGGCAACCCTAAGTTAATGGCAAAACTTCCATTGACTGCAGTAGTGGAGAACTGGGTCCAATCAAGAACCCTTAAATTACTATTGGTATCAGCTAATGCCCCAGTTGTATATGCTACTTTCCATAGGTAAACCCTGAGCCTACATGGAGCCCCATTCATTTAAATTAAGTTCTGTGTGGGCACAGATGTCTAGGATTGGAGAGCTGAAAGCCCCGTACAGAAGATGCTTACTGTTTTAGGTTCAGGACCTAAGTTAGTAACACCCAACTGCATATGCAGGTAATAAATATTAAAATAATCCCAATATGGGGCAAGTATTCTATGTCTACCACAGGGGTGCTGGAACAATTTTTATAGTGGGGGTGCTTAGAGCCATTGAACCAAATTGTAAACCCCATATATAATGGAAACTACTTCAAGCCAGGGGGTGTGGCAGCAACCCCAGCACCCCTTGTTCGAGCACCTATGGCAGGGGTGGGCAAACTTTTTGGCCTGAGAGCCACATCTGGGTATGGAAATTGTATGGCGGGCCATGAATGCTCATGAAATTGGGGGTTGGGCTGTGGAAGAAGGAGAAGGGTGAGGGCTCCAGCTGGGGGTGCGGGCTCTGGGGTTGGGCTGGGGATGAAGGATTTGCAGTGCAGGAGGGTGCTCCGGGCTGGGCCCGAGGGGTTCACAGATCCGCAGGCACCGCTCCCAGAGCTCCCAGAAGCAGCAGCATGTCCCCTCTCTGGCTTCTACGCGGAGGCATGGTGCCAGCCAGGAGGCTCTGCGTGCTGCCCCATCTGCAGCCACCGCCCCTGCAGCTCCCACTGGCTGCGGTTCCCGGCCAATGGAAGTTGCAGAACTGGCACTTGGGGCGAGGGCACCGTGCAGAGCCCCCTGTCTGCCCCTACATGTAGGAGCCATAGCGGGGACATGCTGCTGCTTCCAGGAGCCGTGCAGAGCAGGGCAGGCCCCCAATCCTGCTCCCCAGTAGGAGCTTGAGGCCAAATTAAAAGGTTTCATGGTCCAGACGTGGCCTGCAGGCCGTAGTTTGCCCATCCCTGACCTATGGTCTACCATGGATTAAATAAACAATCTCCAAATGTTAAAAGAAGCCAAATTAATTATGTTAAGAAATCACAGCTAATAATCCTCCCTTCTTGACTCTCTGAACTCAGCAGGCCTGCTCATGATGAGTACATAAAACAAAGAGTTAAAGAACTCAGCAATTAGAGATAAGTAGTGGGTGGTTGAGTACAAAATTTGATTAATGAAACTTCCAAGGGTATATACAGTAACACTATAAAGAATCCTGATCCTACTGAACTGAATTGTTTTACCATTTATTTCAATGGAAAACAAGATCCATCTGTGACACCCTAGTACCCCATATTCAGCACTGTCATATAATTATATTTTGTACAAAGTATGCCTTGTGAAGTATCATTCTAAATGTCTTGATCTGCTAAACATTAATATCTCACTGGATTGTACGTGCTATCATTGTATTTGGTGTTATGAAGTTTTGCTATGTATGTGTTAACGCAATATGTTGTGAAGTTGGAAACACCTACAACGAGCCTTTCAGGTACAACAATGAAGAAGTTAGACAGTGCTAATGGCCTATCAGCAAAGGCAATGAACCATGGAAAAGCTTTCCTCACCCAGGAATGTTTCAGCTAACCTATGAGTAATGGCTGCTATGACTCAGCAAGGCATGCAAGGGCATGTGACCAGACCACATGACACTGAACTCCATTTTGGTACCTGTATTTTTCCATAAACTGGGCTGGAAATTTAGCTTAGAATAAAGGGTTCCCGCCGTATGGAAAAACTGTATAAGGTGGGGAGTGACATAATGATTTGGCCTCACTCCCCACACATGAGAACACCTGGAAACCCTGAGGAACAAAGACTGAACTGGGGGAAATGCTGGTCCCAAGCTAAAGAGATTTCTAGCTTGTGTATGGAAGCTTGGTGAACTGCTTGTATCATCAGTAAGGGTGAGAAATTGCTAATCCAAATCCTATCTATTTAGCATATCAGGTTTAAGTTGCGTTTTGTTTATTTGCTAAGTAATCTGCTTTGATTTGTTTGCTATCACTTAAAATCTATCTTTCTGTAGTTAATACATTTGTTTTGTTTTATCTTAATCAGTGTGTTTTTAAGTGAAGTATTTGGGAAAATCTCATCTCCGTTAAGAAGGGCTGGTGTGTATATTCCTCTCCACGTCGAGGGAGCGGCGAACTGAGTAATAAATTCATACTGGTCAGGTTTTTGACCAGAGCAGGATAGTACAGGATCCTGAATGCTATGGACAGAAAAACTCAAAATTGTAAATGTCTTTATTTCAATAAATAAACCTAGATAATGCTGTTGTAATGTCTCAACTGTGGCACATACTTCATTAAAACTAAACAATGACTCTCATCTTTTCTGCTGCCATATTTAAAAATTCTCATGTAAAAAACATTTATTCCAAAATAAAACGCAGGGTTGGAGGAATCAGAACACCACCCCAGAACAGTTTATGAAGTATTTAATACAAAAGTTAATCGGGTCTAATCACTTACAAAATGATTACATATATGATTCAGACAATTAGAAAATATTTTTATATTTAACTATACTGATACTTCCAGAGGTATGAGAGTCAACAAACTCCTAATTCCTTATAATTTATCACTTATTGGCATGAATTGCTTTATAAACATACCCCATATGAAACATGATTTTTGTTCAAAATCTTTATTATACTGGACTCAAATGGCAGGTGTAGAATGTTACTACCTTGTTCTAATTTTCACTACATTTTGCTTATGGAAAACACAGTGCATAGTGACAATCATGCTTTGGGTGAACAATTTATAAAAGACAAGATCGTGAAAACCTGGCTGAGAGAACCAGGTTTAAAAGCTTTCTAACTTTTTTTTTTTTTTGGTGATTCAGAAGAAAGACCGCTTCTTACCCACACTCATTTTATCCTATTTCTGTGTGACAGGGTGCTGGGCACAAACTGCTGAGCCTGCCCTCTGTCATGCCAGCTCCAATTATGCAAGGTAGATTAGAGCTCGTTAGAGAAACCTGTGCCTAATTGGCAAAGGGGAACAGCTGCCAGCCTAATTAGCCTGCGGCTGCATAAAAGCCTCAGAGGAAAGAAGCCAAGGAGGCAGAGAGAAATGGGGAAGCTAGAGAGTGGAAGAAGAGTAGGAGTGCCTCTCTCGGTTATAGAAACTGACAAGTCCTTAAGGCTGAAACCCCCAAGCTGTATATGGTGAGAAGGTGGTGGGATTACATGCTGTAAATAAACTGCACCAGTGATTGCTAAGCCACAAGGTCTCTGAGGTTTTTTTTTTGGCGTGAGGCAGGAGCAAAGGGGGCCCTACTATGCCCTGTTACATACTGTCATGTCATTATTATACACTGTACAGGAGGGGTGGCCAACCTGTACCTGAGACGGAGCCAGATTTTGCCAATGTACATTGCAAAAGAGCCACAGTATTGTGTCAGGAGCCCCTATTGGCTCCAGTGCCCTGCCGATCAGCACCTCTCCTCCTTCCCTGTGCCTGATGCAGGAGGCTCTGGGGGGTGAGGAGAAGAGCAAGAGCTTGGGGAAGGGACAGGGCCTTGGGGGAAGGGGTGAAGTGGGGGCAGGGCCTGTGCCAGAGGCAGGGGTTGAACAGTGAGCATTGGAAAGTTGGCACCTGTAGCTCCAGCCCTGGAGTCGGTGTCTATGCAAGGAGCCGCAGATTAACCTCTGAAGAGCCGCATGAGACTCTGGAGCCACAGGTTAGCCACCCCTGCTGTACAGGAACATCTACTGTTAGCAGTGTTGTAGCCTTGTTGGTCCCATGATCTTAGAGAAATGAGGTGGATGAAATAATATATTGGACCAACTTCTGTTGGTGAGAGAGACAAGCTTTTGAACTTACACAGAGTTCTTCTGGTCATCTGTCCAGCAAATGAAAATATCAGTATCCTTGGTTTTGTGGTGCATTTGTCCAGAAATTCTTCCTTAAGAAGAATGAAAAGATTGATGTACTGGAGAGCCATCCCAGTACTCATGGCTGTTCCCCCTGATTTGGATAAATTATTTGTTGGTAAATGTAAGATTGTTATGGGTGAGGATTAAATGGTTGAGTTTGGTGATGTCTGGGGTGGGTGAACGCTTTCCACAAAATAATCACTTCATAACTGACCTCTCTATCCTCATCCTCCAAGGAAACCTGCACAACACTTTCAAAAGACAAGCTTGGGAACTCCAAATTCATAACTGCTAGACACCAAAAATCATGGACTTAAAGACACTGGATCTATGGCTCATTATAAAAATCTACAACCTACTAATGCCTCCTTTATCCTATGACTGTAGATGTGATACTACCCACTTCACCGTGAATGGTCTCTTGAAAGATGTGTTAAGCCCTTACCTCTTCCACCTTCTAGTTAGCTGTAACACTCTGAGGAGTTGGTCTTGGTGAAGACACTCCTAAGCCAATGGGAGAGCTCTGTAGTTAGTTACCAGCTCTCAGGAAGGTGGATTATATCAATGGGAGAAGCTCTCCCATTGACATAGCGTAGTCTACACAGTGGGTTAGGGAATTGGATTTTTCACACCTGAGCAACGTAGTTGTATTGAGATAGGTCTGAAGTGTAGAGCTGGCCTGAGTACCTTTCCCAGTCTTGAAGAAGAGCTCTGTGTAAGCTCAAACTCTTACCTCTCACTAACAGAAGTTGGTCCAATGAAAGATATCACCTCACCCACTTGATTTTAGGAACATATACTGTACATAGTGCATGCTGAACAAATCTTTTTAAGATCTGTGCCCTAAGTCTGCAAGTTACTTAAACATGTGTTTAACCTGAAGCATAGACATAGCCCTATTTTGAAGTGAAGGGGACAGTACAAGCACATGCTTAATTTCAAGTACTGATTCAAGGTCTGACGCGAGAGCTGAGTTACCAAAACAATTTCATTCTGGATTTATAGTATTCCTTAACATTAAAGAGACATATCTTCCATTTGAAAATCAATTAAGGAGTGGAAACTAAAATTTCTTAATTTTCTTCCACTTGGCTAAGAAAATCTGGAACTCTACTGAGTTCAATGCCAGTTTAAGGGATTTCAGGCTTCAGAGCAGCAAATGGGAAACCTAAAGAGGGGCAGCTGTGTGAAGCCTTTCTCTTCTGTGATTTAGGGGCCCATATAATTAAAACCAAATATAAATACTGAATTTTCACTTTAGATAAATACTTTCTGGGCGTCTCAATTGAGCTTTTCTCAATTAAGTGAACAATTCTATGTAATTCTGTTTAATACACTTTGAGCCTGTTCCTGTGGCTCTTCTAGTCACGTGAGTAAGGGTAGCAGCATTGGGGATGATCTTTGAAAGCACTTTGGTACTGCATATATAATTTATTTTCTAATAAGACACTTTGCTTACAGCATCACAATATTATGTATGGTAATGCATTGCCATATATAAAAAAGCTATTTTCAAGTCATGAATATTTCCTGAGTGGAAAATAATGTTAATATAAAATGATCACTTCAGAAATGTCCAGTAATGTTACACTGCATGAGATCTTTCATGCACTGTGATTTTGACTAATAAATATAAGCATGGGGAAACCTATCACTATAACAATGTACCCGCAGCTCTAAAATATAAAATGCAATATTCACATGATTAAAATACTTTAAAAGCTGTTACACCCCATAGTGGTCATTAAGGTAGTCCAGAACCGCTGAGGTGCTTGATAAAACATTAAAAACCTTTTTTTCCTGTTTTGAAGTTATCCGTTCCATCATGTACATTAAATGATGATGAAAGCACGTAAAAGGAGTCCCATGTTCAAGAGCAATGTCAACCCAGTCCTGGATGCACTTCAAAGGTGTCTCTTCATATCCTGCAAACATGGCTGGATTGGCTAAGAGTCCCCTAGCAACCATTACACCTTCAAATGGAAAATTTGAGAAGTGTTAATATACAATTTAACTTTTAACTTTTTTATGTTTACCTGAGGGTTTTGTATACCACCCATCACCACAGTATCTAATACTTGTGAATAGCTAACTACAGAGCAGTAGAAGCTGAAAAGCCAATATGACAGTTGCACCCTGGGAAACTCTGTTTAACAGTCCAAATCCAAGATTACCTGTGATATTTAAAGGTCCAGTCTACCCAGCTTAATAGCACTTCATGATAGAGAATTTGAAAGAAAACACAGCATATACAGAATGGGAACTTTTCTTTCCCAGTTCTTTGAACAACCACAACCAGTCCTCCAATAATATTTTCTTTTTATTAGTTAAAACATAGGATGATCCTGTTTTTTTGAGCAAAATTTATTACTGATTGACACACAGTGAGGAAACAAATTCATCTCTTGTGTAACTCAAATGACTTAAAGAACACTTGCACTAGCTGGTGAGGCCTCAGCTGGAATAGGGTATCCAGTTGTATTGTGGGAATAGGGCATCCCACGCTGTAAGAAAGCTGTGGACAAACTGAAGAGTCCAGAGAATAACAAAAATGATATAAGATTTAGGAAACCTGGCCTATGAGGAAAGGAGAAAAAAACTGGGCATGTTTAGTCTTGAGAAAAGTGGACTGAGAGGGGAACCTGATGATAAGACTGCAAATTTGTTAAGGGCAAGTTATAAAGAGGACAGGGATCAATTGTTTTCTGTATCCAAAGAAGTAGTAGTAATGGGCTTAATCCACAGTAAGGGAGATTTAGGTGAAACTTTCTAACTATAAGAGCAATTAAGCACAGGAATAAGCTTCAAAGGAGGTTGTAGAATCCCCATCATTGGAGGTTTATAAGAACAGATGGTCTATGTTTACTTGGTCCTGCCTCAGGGCTAGCGGCTGGACTTGATGACTTCTTGAGGTCCCTTCTAGCCCTACATTTCTGTGACACAGACAGACTGACTGGGGAGTACAAGGAAACAATAATGCTGAAACTGACTAGCCAGATACTTGACAAAATCCAGGACAGAAAGTACTCCTCCTTCTTCCCTTTATTTGCCACAGTAACAGATCCATCTCCCACCTGCAAGGGCCAAAATGGCTGCCACTGAGGCACCCCATGTACCAGTGGTGGGCACCCTGCGGTGGGCCGTGAGACAGTTTGTTTACATTGACTGTCCACCTGCAGCTCTCAGTGGCTGCGGTTCACCGTTCCCGGCCAATGGGAGCTGCAGGAAGCAGGATGGGCTGGAATGGCGAACCGTGGCCACTGGGAGCTGCGGGCAGCCGTGCCTGCGGACAGTCAGTGTAAATAAAAAGAAAAGGAGTACTTGTGGCACCTTAGAGACTAATCAATTTATTTGAGCATAAGCTTTCGTGAGCTACAGCTCACTTCATCGGATGCATTCAGTGGAAAATACGTGAGGAGATTTATATACACACACAACATGAAAAAATGGATGTTATCATTCACACTGTAAGGAGAGTGATCACTTAAGATGAGCTATTACCAGCAGGAGAGCGGGGGGCGCCGGGGAAAGAAAACCTTTTGTAGTGATAATCAAGGTGGGATCATCTTAAGTGATCACTCTCCTTACAGTGTGTATGATAACACCCATTTTTTCATGTTCTGTGTGTATATAAATCTCCTCACTGTATTTTCCACTGAATGCATCCGATGAAGTGAGCTGTAGCTCACAAAAACTTATGCTCAAATAAATTGGTTAGTCTCTAAGGTGCCACAAGTACTCCTTTTCTTTTTGCGAATACAGACTAACATGGCTGCTACTCTGAAACCAGTGTAAATAAACTGTCTTGTGGTCCACCAGCGGATTACCCTGACGGGCCGCAGGTGGCCCACCACTCCCTTGTAGGAACAGAATGAACCGTTATCTGTCTAAAAGAATTCTCCAATAATGTCATTAATCATTCATATTAGGTTGATGAGTGTCTGAGGCTTTTCTGTGTGTAGGGGTGGGATACAGTATTTAAATAAAGGGCTTTTGCAGTTTGCCTTGGAGGTCCTTATTCATAGTTATGCATAGTAGTACTCTAATGCTTTGTAAGGATAAGGCCTTTTCCTGTAGGGATGTTGTAAAGCCTTTGTTTGCAGCCATATTAGGAGAGCAGCAGCCATGAGCTAAGAAGCAGGAAGTCACATCCTCACATTCCATCTAAATTACATTAAAACAATGTAATATTGGGCTATTAAGGAGATCCTGTCCTAATAGCACCCACTATCACCAGATAAAGAAACAGAACTTAAGATGGTTAAAGAAAACTCAGTTTGATAGCATTCTGTCTGGCAAGAAACTGCTTATCAAGAGTTGTAGCTGTGAAATCCTCATTTCTTTATTGTTTTGTCTTTATGGTCCCCACTTCTCTATTGTTTATCTGTATGATCTGTCTGGTTCTTTGATTGTTTCTGTCTGTTGCATAATTAATTTTGCTATGTGTAAATTAATTAAGGTGATGGAGTATGATTGGTTAAATAATTGTTTTACAATATGGTAGGATTAGTTAGTAATATTTTAGTAAAATGATTGGTTAAGGTACATTTTAGCAGGACTCAAGTTTTACTATATAAACTGTGGTCCAAAAGGAATTTCTTTGGGAACCAACTCCAGGACACAGGCCCAAGATCAGAACTGACAGACCTCAACACTCTGCCAATGACACTGAGCAGAAACTGGAGTCCCCCAGATGACCTGATCCTGACTGGCCATCAAGAAAAGTTCATCTCTCTTATTGGGAGTGGTGAGCACTGTATGTGTCGCATGTGCATTCTGTTTTGGTGATTGTTAATAAATAGAGGTTAAGTAGGATATTACTGTGTAAGGCTCTTTCACTGGTAAAAGACCCTGTAAACCCTCGAACGATTAAGCCCTGAGTCCACAGGGAATGGGTGTTTACTCTGAGTCCACAGGGAATGGGTGTTTATGTTGAGCCCGGAGAAGTAGAGCCCAGAGCCCACAGAGGGGTAAAGTTAGGTGCCTTTTGCCTAGAGCCCTAGGAACTGGGAAAGGGTGGGGGTGCCTAAATTAACTGGGTTACGCCTGAGTCTTAGGAACAGGGTAAGGGTGTGTGCCCTAGAGTGTAAGGTTACGCCTGAGCCCTAGGAATGGGGTAAGGGTGGGTGCCTAAATTAAGAAGGTTACACCTTGAGACCATGGAAGGGTAAAGGTGGGTGCCCCTAGAGTGCGTAACAGAGAATTTTGTGTGGGTAACAGCTTTTAAGTGTGTCTGCTCATGAATCCTTAAGATGTCGGAACCAATGAACTTCATATCTCAGTTCATTCCTTGAAGAGTGCAAAACGCTCAAATATAAATTCAACTTACAGACAAATTGTGTATTTTAAAAAGTATGTTTCCCAGCAAGTTTACTGAAATAATACCCAAAGTATGCTGAGTTCTTACCATCTGTCCCCGTCATATGATGAATATTCTCTGCATCTTTTAAAGTTTTAACGTCTCCATTAGCTACAATAGGTATAGACGTATTTTGTTTAATTATTTTAATTGCATCATAATGTACTGGCTGATGTCGTTCTTCTATATTTCTACCATGAACTGTAATCCAGGAAACTCCAGCTGCTTCAGCTTTTCGACAGAGATCTACAGTTCTCTTTAGATCATCATGGATTCTAAAATTCCAAGGAATGTAATAATTATCCTCACCATCAGTTATCTCAACTGCATGAAATCCCATCATAAAGCAAAGTAAACAAGAATTGAAGAAAGAACGTTATTGTTGGAAGATGAACAGATCTTTTATCATATAACACATTATTTTAATAAATTAATATCCCTTGATTTAGTACTGACGTCAATCATGTCACTCAAATTGAAAGGGTGTCCAAACTTTATAACAATTGCTAGAAACCCATGAGGCTCTTAAAAATATATAATTTTGCGTAATTTTGTACCAAAAATGAAATAACTCACATTTATATAGCACCTTTTTTTCTGAAAAATCTCAATCAACTTTAGATCTTTATTAACAGAAGCTGCTGATATTCCTGTGTAGGTTTTGGATGACTTCCTCCACACTGAAATGCAACATGGCGACACATCACAATATTTTAGAAGTCAGTGAAGTGAAGGATATCTTTTTCCAACTGAAACTGGAGTGGGAATTTAGGTAGGCAGAGTGACACAAATTGAAATTTGATAAGGAATGTAATCAAATCTTTAAGCAATCACGATTTGTCAGGATCTATTTTTAATGCCTCATCTAAAAGACAGCTTCTCCACCTGGACTATGCCATTAATACCATACTAGATCTAGTTCTAAACTGGTAGAAGGAAAAATATCACTAACTTACCAGCATCATTTCCTGTTCCCCCTATGTTCCTTTGAGAACTCCCATCCAAGTGGTAACTTGACCCAAGCTTGCTTAGCTTGGTTCAGAGCACTAGGTGATATGGTTGCATAAACAATACAAAACTATTCAACTAGGCTGTGATCATTTTACCTTTCATGAATTCTGAGTTTTTAAAAAATGTATGACTTTTATGTTGCTTTGGATATCAGTGTGTTCTTGCAAACCAAAGCAAACTTGAGGACATGTAGCACCAGAGAAACACTGATTGCAATTTTGTAGGATTACATGTCTCCAAATGTATTTTGGATGAGAAAGAAAACAGATCCTGACCAGCTGGGGTTGTTAAAGACCTCAGGGTTGACCTACCAAAAAGCTGAGTGCAAATCTCCACAGACCATGCTTATGGCACTTTTTCTGTAAAGGTAATATTAACCCAAAACATTGCCTGTTTTGTCTGATTAAATAATAAACATGCTTTATTGTCTTGAGGCATAGTAGTGGTCTAAACTTACCTTATCTTAATAGATACTGAAAATCTGGGGTTCTCGACTTGATTTCGTACATGTCTCACCATATCTTGAACCAGCTCTGGTTTATTTATTAAACAAGCACCATAACCTTCCGCCATTGCCCATCTTTAAGTTAAAGAGAACAACGTTTGCACTGTATATTTGCAATAAAAGGTCAGTTTCAACCTAATGCACTATTTCAGTTTCCTTTTTGACACATTTGGTGAATTATTTTGTCAACAGGGAAGAAGGCAGAGATAGCACTGGCTATGGGTGAAAGATGTTCTTATGGTTAAGGCTCACGTCTTGGGAGATGTAGCTTCAATTCCTGGTTCTATCACAGATTTCCTATGTGACTTTGGACAAGTTACTTAGTCTCTCTCCAATCCAGTTTCTAATCAGCTAAATTATAACATATTTACCCATCCCCTTGCCCCCAAAAGGGCATCATAAGGAAAAATAAATTAACATTTTTGAGGCACTCAGATACAATGTGATGTGGGCCAATAAACAGCTAGATTTCATCTTCTATATAGAGTCATGGGATGTTTTCAAAGAGAAATTTTATGAGGACTGTTGGAAAAAGGCCCTTATTTGTATGGCCCTCTTAATCTAACTGTGAAAACTATACCCGTGAGAATGGCAGGATGTACCATTTTCTCTAACCTAATTGCAGCTATTTATTAGTATTTAAATAATTTGTCCTTATAAGCAGATTTTCAAATTAAAAAAACCCAAAACCCTAAGCCAAAAACACAGATTTTCCTATGGTTTTGAAATTGGAAGCTTGGTCTCTTGGGTGGACTGTGCAAAGTAAATATAACCATACAGCTCTGATCACACAAAAACTCTCAATTTGATATTTCAAAGCAGCTGGGTTAAAAGATAGAGAGAAACTAATACATTTCTATGTGTAAAATTATTAGGAGATAATTGTTATTTCAAGTCATGAGAATCTAATTAGACCACTTGAGTAATTAAATATTTGCACTTATTATAAGTTACCTATGGTTGTGCTTCCCTACATTTTCTAGTTGATGTTTTCAGTTTGTAAAATGTGTTTTGACTAAAAACACCTCCAATATTACTTAATAGGTCTAACTTGAACCACTTAATAAATATTTTCAATTGTGTATGAATATTTTCAGTCTGACTGGGTCACGACATACAATAACAAAATCTGGAAGATTTTAAGTGAGGAGCAGATCACTGATCTCACTGACAAACATTTAGCACCTAATCAAAGATGCAAGTAGTTCTTGAACATTAAACAATCACGACTTAATACAGAAGGAAGAGTTATTTCAAAGGATATTCTTTACTTGTAGAAGTCTCTCAGGCATCAGGACTTACACCAACATTTTGAGAATAGCCACAAAGTTTCCCTCAATATACTTCCCAAGTCACTTGCAATGAAGCTTTCATTCCCTGTCTGGTAAGTCAGTGTGCAGCATTTTTGATGCCACTGTTAATGCCTCTTCAACAATTGTCCACCAAAGGTTGCCAATTCCCTATTAAGTCAACACTCAACATCATAGACTCAAAGAATGGCACCTTGATAATATGCCTGGACTCTACTGTCTCACCAATGCAGAAGGTCTCCTGAGACTGCTTTCTGAATGCTTTCTCAGGAAGACAAATCAGAATTTCTACATTTAAGAACTACCATCAATCTATCACTATTTCTTTTGGATTTGGAAAACTAGGAAGTGATTTTTCATTTTTCATTGTCCCTAATTGTTTCATTCTTCCAACTTCTTAAAGTTTTACCTCTGAGGACAGCCACAATTTAGGTCTATTCCATCTGCAAAAGGACAGATGATACGGGCAGCATCAGATAAAACCTGTGCTTCATTAGCAGCAAACTGAACAATCAGTGGGCGATCACCTAGTCAAAGAGAGAGCTCTTTTAGAATATACCATAACAAGAACAATGCATACTACATATGAAACTCACCCTTACTAATTATTTAAGTAAGTCAACATAATCAGGTCTTTAATGTAATCAGTATAACAACAGAAGATTTAAAAAAAAATGGTAAACAAAGAATTCTAAACTTATGAATGTTTTGTTATTCCTGGATAAAGTCAATCTCTTGTATATCTTCCTTTCCTGCTATTTCTAATAGCAGTACTGTTTCAATGTGTGTTGCCACAAGAAAATAATTTTTAGAAGAAACATTTATTTCTAAAAAAGAATTCCACTCTTTTTACAAAATAAAAATAGTCTCCAATGACAGAAAGAGAGACAAGTATTTTTTTCTAAAAAACACAGATTTCATTTCTTATATTGCCTTATTTGGAAGTTCTGACACACAAAATATAAGGAAACATTAGAAACTGAACAGAATAGGGTTCTTATAATGGTGACATATTAATAACCAATTAAGAAGTAAAGAAATTCAGGGTTAAGTTTTAAATATATTTTTAAAGAAAGAAAATTGGAAGGTTATAGTTCATAAAACCTAAAATGTCAGCAAGTCTAGAAATAATAAAGCACCAGTTCTAGCACCAACCTTAATTACACAACTTTATCCATATCTGATTTTTTTAAACACATTCCACAGAGCACTGCAAGACCAAAGAAAACTCTAAATATGGGATTATAAACTGCAAACCTAATCCTCTAATTAATGGCTGGAGACCAAACTCTCCACGGCCTTCATGGTAGAAGCCACAGACCATATCTCACAAATGGGTATTCCTGGAGAAATTCTGCACTACTGTATGTGCATAATTAATGAGCCATGCATAGTTTTAATTTTTTGCACAGAAAAGAGCTTCTGCCAAAATGTTGCTGAAGTTCCACTTTTGCCCACCAGAGGACACTGTGATGCAAGAATAGTGGCAGCTCCCAGCAGAAAATAACTTCTGCAGTTCTGCCCTTTGCCCACAAGATTGCGCTGTGGGCATAGACCACAGTAACAGTTCCCAGCCAGCGGGGGAAGAAAAAGGGTTGCTGGGGGCTGCAGGGCGGTGTCAGACAGGGGCTCATAAGGGTTAGTGGAGGAGGACAGACTGGGGCAGAGGCTGAATGGGAATGGAGGCACAGGGCCACATGGTGATGGGGGAGGGGGTGCAGAGCTACATAGGGAGAGGTGAGTGGCTGGGTGGGGGCACAGAGACACAGTGGGAGGGGGTGCAGGAACACATGGGGATGGGGCAGATGTGTCTGACTGAATGGGAGAGGCTAGGGGTCAGCCAGGGTCTGCATGGGGGAAGCTCCCTAACAATTCCTCCCCACCCCCTAAAAAAATGTTCCATACGTTTCCCACCCACACACAACAACCCTCCAAGTTCACACCCAGGCTCCGTTCCAGCAATCCTTCCTTCTCCCTCAGCTCCTCCATTATCCTTGACTCCCCCAAGCCTTTGCACTGCTTCTGAGGGGTGCAGGAAATATGGTTCTGTATTGTAGTTTAAATGAATTATTATTCAGAGTTCTGTATTAATATGCTTAGTAAGGATTTATTTGTCAAGAACGTTTTCTGAGTCTTTTTTGTTGTCTGCATTGTTACAGACATACTTGCTGACAGGTATTTTGAAATAAATGACCAAAAATAATTGAAACTGGTGTGATTATATTGTGTTATTCTGACAAATAAAATATGCAGAATTTTAAAATATTGTGCGCAGAATTTGTAATTTTTTGGTGCACAATTTCCCCAGGAGTAAGATGAAGCAATCTTTGGGGCAGATCCTCAGCTTGTGTAAATTGTCATTGACTTCAATGGAACTGTAATAATCTATACCAGCTGAGTTCTGCTCCTTGATTTTAGAAAGGCATCAGAGGACATCGGAAACATCCAAAAAAGTTGGCAGGTTCAGATAACCAGAAGAATCAGTCATGTAAAGCTAAGTGCTGAAGCTCCCAAAGAGTTTTTAAAACCACAAAAAAAGAAGCCTTGAATAAAAGGTCCTGTGGAACTTCTAAGTTCTGTAGGACCAGAACTACAAAAATCTTTGCCATTGTACTTATAAGCCCAGAAATACTAAGGACAGGTCTACACTACGGCAGGGATTGACGCTCTGAGACTGATCCACTGGTGGTCGATTTAGCGGGTCTAGTAAAGACCCGCTAAATCGACTGCAAATCGCTCTCCAGTTGATCCCTATACTCTACCCCTGATGAGAAGAGTAAGGTAAGTCAATGGGAGATTTTCTCCTGTCAACCCCCTGTGGTGTTGACCCCACGGTAACTCGACCTAAGGTACGTCGACTCCAGCTACGTTATTCACGTAGCTGGAGTTGCGCAACATAGGTCGACTTACCGCAGTAGTGTAGACATAGTCTCAGGTCTGATTCTCTTTATGTCTGCAAGACTTAGTACCTCAGCAGCAGTGCAGCTAAAGGCTGCTCTACACTGGGCACTTACATCAGCATAGCTACTTCTCTAGGGGTGTCAAAAATCCATCCATCTGAGAGATGTAGCTATTCTGAACTGTAGACACTGCCAGGTCTACAGAAGAATTCTTCTGTCTATCTAGCTACTGCCTCTCAAGGAGGGGGATTACCTATGCCGATGGAAGAACCCCTCCTATCGGCGTAGGTAGTGTCTACATTGATGTGCTACAGCGGTGCAATTGCAGTACTGCAGCTGTGAAGCTGTAGCATTTCAAGTATTGACAAGCCCGGTGAACCCTGGGGGGATATAATCAACCTTCAGTTAACAACCAGAAAACAGAAATGCCACCAAGTTGAGTGTTAGACCTTGCTTCGCTCGGTCAACTAGATTAATAGAATTTAAGGCCAGAAGGGACTGTCATGATCATCTAGTCTGATCTCCTGCATATTGCAGGTCATAGCACCTCACCCGTCCGCTCTGTAATAGACCCCTAACCTTTGCTTGAGGTACTAAAGTGCTCAAATCATGATGTTAAGACTTCAAGTTACAGAGAATCTACCAAAAAGAAAAGGAGTACTTGTGCTACCTTAGAGACTAACCAATTTATTTGAGCATAAGCTTTCGTGAGCTACAGCTCACTTCATCGGATGCATACTGTGGAAAATACAGAAGATGTTTTTATACACCCAGACCATGAAAAAATGGGTGGGATGGGGGGGAGAGAAAACCTTTTGTAGTGATAAACACCCATTTTTTCATGGTCTGTGTGTATAAAAACATCTTCTGTATTTTCCACAGTATGCATTCGATGAAGTGAGCTGTAGGTCACGAAAGCTTATGCTCAAATAAATTGGTTAGTCTCTAAGGTGCCACAAGTACTCCTTTTCTTTTTGCGAATACAGACTAACACGGCTGTTACTCTGAAACCAGAGAATCTACCTTCTAAGATCAATTATTGCATGAAATCCTCTGAAAAAGCAAGAACATATACAATAAATACCTTTGCTTGTTGTGAATTCACTGTCTCTAGCTTTCACAGATCTGACAAAATCAGCAGCAATTATCATTGGTGTATAACACAAATCACAGTTGTATTTCCTGACCAAAGTTCTGAAAGCCAACCTGTGAGCATATGGACATTTAAATTGAAACAAACAAACTAACAAACTCAAAACATACATTGTTTTCCTAAATAAACTATTTTAAAATTAAATTATTTAAGTGCGTTTAGCCATACAGCACCTAATATAGTGGGGTGTCTAGGTATTACCACAGTATAAACAGATAAACATGCATATTTTGAAGCGTGTTTTCCAAACTGTTAAAAAAAGTAACCAAACTTATTTTTATACTTAACATACATTTACATGGAGAATCCATTGAAAGTGTATAGCTAAACATGATGTGTTACTTACTTTGAATATCGGACCATAGGGGCACATATTTTTACAAAGTGCCGGGAATGAAACAAATCTACTGGATCCTTTTGTTGACATTGTGTGGTTTCTATGGCGTCACTAATCATTTATGAGTTTCAATACTATTTAAAATCTGGAAAAAGAAAACACTTTTTTAAAACAGAAACCTTACTACTTATTCCCAGTTCTCATAACATACAGCAATGGATAACTGTTCAAAGTTAGTTAACAAAAAGGTTAATAGAATTTACACTAACTTCACAAGGAAGATGGGGGTGGTGGTTCCACTGCTGTGATCTGGGGCTATGTTCTGGTGAGAATTTAGTGTCCTGCTATCCTCAGTTTGTGGGAAGCAGTTTATGGATTACATTATGTCTGTTTTAAGTATATCCTTAGCATGTGTCTTATATTTAACATACTGCAACAGAAAGCAATATATTTTTGTTACATTTGTGCAACGCATGACTAACAGAAATGGGTAGTTAACTTTCAATTAACTGAATCTCCTAGAAACACAATAGAGAATATGCTCAGATACTTGAAAAAATTAGTTTATGCCACGGAGTTTGAGAAAGGGCGAGAGAGATTATCCAGGGGGTTTACCAATTTAGGTCTAATTGCTGTTGTGAAAAATCCAATGGCCATGAATACCACAGAAGAGGTATACAAGAGATCTTCAGTGACAGAAGGAAGAGACTGGGACTGGGGGGAGAGACAGAAAAAAAGGGAAGAAGACAGTGGGGAGGGAAAAGGTAGACCAATAAGAGGACGGGGCTGCATGGCGCAGGGAACGATGCAGAGACAGCTATACCAGCCCTCCTCTCCCCACCCGCCTGCCCCCATCCCGGCCCAGCTCCCATCCCGCCTTGTGCCCGCCCCCGCCCCTCCTAGCATCCATCTCTACTTCACCCGCGGCGGGAGGCAGGCAGACCATGCCAGCCCAGAACGACCTTTCCCCTCTGACCCTTCACCCTCCCCAGCCTCGCCCCTGCCAGCGGACACCACGGAGGCGCGGGATGCTGGCGTTGCCGCTAGCCGGTCGCTTATGGATGACGTCAGGGTCTCCGGGAGCTGCCAGCATGGAAGAGGCGGCGGGAGGCGGCGGCGCCGCTGCTGCTGCTGCCCTGGGACTGGCTCTCGGGGAGCTGCTGGGGGACGGTGAGGAGGGGCTGGCGCGGGGTCCGTGCGGGAGCAGGCGGTGCGGGGTAATAGTGAAACTGGGGGCTGCGGGGACACGAATGGGGGGGAGCTGGGGGACCTCGGCAGCAGAGGGTCTGAGGTGAAGCGAGGGCCCCGGGCAGCCGGGCTCTGCTGGGGGCACACGGGGCTTTGGGCAGCAGAGGGGCCCTGCGGGGGACTGGCACTAGGCTAGCGGTGCGGACTGTGTTGCTTTGCCAGCCGGACTAGGGACCCGAGGCTCGAGGCGGAAGAGCTGGAGGCTGCGGAGGAGTTTGCTCTGGGGGCAGGGTATCCCTCTCACACCTGCCTCTGCGTGCGTGGCTGTCTTGCTGCTCCTGCAGGTCTCCAGGCACCAAGCTCACGGTCTGTCCTGCTGGCTGGAAAGAGGGGGTAACTGCTCTTGCTGGGAGTTTTTCTAGTCCCTGTGCTTCAGGTTTATCGTGGCATCAAATTATTAGGAATTGTGTTGTTGCTGGTGGCCCTTTCCAGCAGCATCCCTTGTGTGTATATTGTGGGGGGCACAAGGGGGCTCCTTCTTACTGCATGTCCTGTTAGTCCCTGTATACAAGGCTTGCTAGCTCAGGAATTCCAGGTTCCTAGTCTGTCCTCTGATTACATTTTCCTCTCTCTAAGAAGGGAGATCCCTGTATTTAAATTGTGCTGATGTTACTGTCCTCTTGTTATGTGGATTGATTGCATGTTGGAATTGCCGTCTTCTCTTTAAAAAGCAAAATCTCATTATGAGAGTTGTCTGTATGCCTTCTCTTCAATTTGTATCGTAATGGCTAGAATAAACTAAAAGAGCTAGGAGATGTAATAAATAATTGTAACCATTGTTAATGTTTAGAGTCTCTGGTTTAGTTCTGACGTGGATCACAAATGAAATTCTTTCGGTGGTTTTAATTTTAGTTCTATAGAAATTAATCCGTTTACAAGACTGTGATATGATTTGATGGAGTCAGTTGCAATTGTCAGTTTTCTGATTGAGATTCATGGTAGTTTTACTCTGGGTAAAACTTCATCTTATTTAGCTTACAAAATTCTGAAGAGGAAATGGGAAGTATAGTTTTAGTGTAATGCATTCCTGAAAAGCTGGCTTTATCCAGTTTTGGATTTAGGCAACAGGACATGGGCAATAAAAATGATGTGGTCAAGCATGTCTCCTTTAAATTAGCTATTTTTACTAAAGGTTGCTCCTTAAATCAATGTCCAGTTATATTGTAGAAACCAGATCACACCTGCTAATAAAATGGGGTATAGATCTAGTGTACCCGCAGTTCTTTACATCCTCAAATATGTATGTATCTTTTGTGGTATGAAAAATAAACCGCTTAAAATATATTTTTCAGAATGTTACGCTGATTTTTTAAGAGAAGACTTCGATGTAAAGACTTATACTTCTCAATCTATTCATCAAGCTGTGATAGCTGAACAGTTAGCAAAACTTGCTCAAGGAATCAGTCAACTGGATAAAGAGCTACATTTACAAGTAAGTGCCAGATATGTCATTTGTTTCTGGGCAATCATGTACAAACATAGTTTAAAAGTTCAGTATTTCAGTCTTGCATGCTCCTAAAGTTACCCTACATTCTCAGCAACTAGCGACTAAGGGTATGCCTACACAGTTCACAGCAGTGAGCCTCCCAGCCCAGGTCCACAGTCTTGGGCTTGCACGAGTGCTCTAAAAATAGCTGTGTAGGCAGCACTTGAAGTTGCCTCCCTAGTTTTCAGAGTCCGAGCTGCAATTTCAAAGCACTGTCTAGAGCTGTTTTTAGAGCACTAGCATGAGCCTGAGTCTGTTAACCTGGGCTAGGAGGCTCTTTTCCACGGGCTACCTAGTCATACCTACTGTGTGTCTTTCAAGATTAACCACAGTGCTTGTTTGATGCACTTCCTCCTCTCGTCTGCTTTCTGACATTTTCATCGGGAACTGGTTTTTAAAAAATTACCTGTTACAAACATAAGACAAATCTAAATTTATATTATTGAGTGATCAAGTAACTGATAGTGATTATTTGGTACTTTCAGAAAGATTCTGAGCTTCTTGAAGGGGGAACATGTGTAAAATAGCTACACAGAGAAACTGTGTACTAATGGATGATATGAAATATTCAATAATGGTTGCAGTTAGTAAATAATGTAATACATTTATAATTTTAGCTTTCTATTTAAGGGGTGTAGTTCTTTGTTTGCATAACCAGTGCCATTCCCAACACTCATGCATCTATATCTAAGGCCCTACTAAAATCATGGTCTGTTGTGGTCAATTTCACAGTCAGAGGATTTTTAAAATAGTCAGTTTCACGGTTTCAGATGTTTACATCTGAAATTTCACAGTGTTGTAACTGTTGGGGTCCCTACCCAAAGAGAGATTGCGGGGGGGTTGCAGGATTGCCACTCTTACACTGCCTTAAGAGCTGGGTAGCGCCCTTGGCTGGATGTCGCCAGTCCTGCCCCTCTTCTACAATTGCCAGATATCGAGGGGAAGGAGAGACCAGGCATCACAGTTTGTGATGCATTTTTCATGGCCATGAATTTGGTAGGGCCCTATGTATATCTATCAGGTGTAGAATACACCCGTAAATCTGGGATTTTCCTCATAGGAATTGCATTTTCTTACTATTAGTGTTTGTTAGCAGAAGTAATAGAACAGCAAAACACTTTCTCAGAGCTGCGTGAAAGATCTCCCTTCTTGTGTGGAACATCCTTTGACACCAATAGAAGAACATTCATATAAGGAGAGCAGAATAGCAGAGTTTCAGATCTATTGTGCATATCTAAGAGGATGATTGTCCTAAAGATAGAATTAACTGGAAATACTTTACAGGGTGTGGTGGCACTGTGGGCTAGTTAGAAGCTTCTCTCTTCTAGAGACTTGTGTAAACGTTTTGTTCATGTCCCAGCTGTATAAGAAACTTGAATTTTTCTCAATTTATCCCTTGTAAATGTTTTTCCACATCACATATTTAACTAAATTTTCTAAACCCAGGATGCCAGTTGAGTCAAAATATGAGAAGGAGACAAGGACTAAGGTTAATTACTGGATGGTGGGTAAACTCATCATCTGCTGTAATCTGCCTGGCTAGATCAGGTGCTGAACATTAATTCAGAAAAAAATAATTGAATAAATAAAACGTTTGTATTAATAAAATAAAATGTTGGTGCTGACTGTGAAGATTCTCATCTGATTTAAAACTTATTATGGACACAAATGAGTTTACAAGGTAGAGGGGTTTGTCTGTAAAGCAGGGGGGAAAAATAGAGAGATCTCTTATCACTCAGGGATTCTTCCTACCTTACGAATCACTGTTCTCTTTTAAACCCACTCATGGATATATGCTTAAAGAAAATCTGAGTTTGTATTGTTGGAATTAGCCTTTCAAGTAATGATTGGTGGTCTCATTTTTCAGGTAGTTGCAAGACATGAGGACTTATTGGCACAGGCAACTGGGATTGGATCTCTGGAAGGTATAAATTCATTTTATGCTGGTTAACTTTTAGTATAATGGAGACACTGTTAATAGCTTCATAGTTAAGGTGGCATCAGACTGTTGAGTAGTTATCTTACTGGACAGAGGTCTTACTTTATTAACACATGGCAGTTTTCTTTAGTGTCGGCAGATGGAGCTGTAAGGAGAGTATTTTGTTAATACTTTTTAACGTAATTACACTATAGGGAGATTTGTTAATAGAAAGAATGTTCTAAGCAACTTAAATAATGCAATCAAGTTTCTGTAAGTATCTTGAAAACTCACATTGTTCTAAAAATTCCATATAGTAGCCTCCAGTCTGTCAACTAACACACCATACAGCTACATCTTGCCATGAATACCAGCTTTGTGAATGATGGAACATGTTTCTAATGTCATTTAATCTACAAATAAAAACCAAAGTAATTATTTTGTGGTCTTAATTGCATCACTTCCTTTTTGTAGTAAGAGGCTGCAAAATTAAATACAGATTTTTGACTCCACTGGTTGGGGTCTGGTATAATACCAATTGCTGATCAAAAAGTCCTTATTTGGGAACTGTCATGTCTGCATAAAAAACTGGTCATTATGTGGTTCTTCAAAATAGATATAAGGTTTCAGAATCTCACTTACTTTAAGATTACATTTTGGGTCCCATTAGCCCAGGGGTTCTCAATCTTGGGGTCAGGATATTGCATGGGAGTCAGGAGCTGTCAGCCTCCACCCCAAACCCTGCTTTGCCTCCAGTATTTATAATGGTGTTAAATATATAAAAAGGTGTATTTAATTTAGAAGGGGGGGTCTCACTCAGGGGCTTCCTATATAAAAGGGGTCACCAGCACAAAAGTTGGAGAACCACTGTATTAGCCCTTACAGTCTTGCTAACAGTCTTGCTTGGTGGCATCTGCGATTTTATGAGTGTACTCTCCACTCCCTTGTCCAAGACACGTAATGCAAATATTGAATGGTACAAGACCCTGAACGGATCCCTGCAGGACCCCACTAGATATGACCTCCCAGTTTGACATCAAACCATTGATAGCTACTTTCTCAGTACAGGCTTTCAACCAGTTCAACAGTTATAACCTGGTTAAAACTGATAAATGTGCTAACCAGATGCCAGGGGATTTGTGTCCCCCCCTTTTCCTCTTCTGATTTTCTAATTTTCAGCAAAATCAAAAGGGCTCTAGCCTCTGATGCCTAGAACAATCCTGGAAATTTTGGAATTAAACGGATGTGCTGTTCAAGAGTTACTGTGTTACAGCCAGGCAGACAAGCAGAGAAGTGTGTCTGCCAAAAAAGAAGAAAAATGAGTTGTCAGACTTGTGTATCAAAATTGCTAAACACTTCTCCTCAACTCAGCAGTGTCAACCCTTAAAATGCTAGTGTTTTCTAAATTGCCAGGCAAATGAATGCTTAGGAAGATGGTTTGTACTCCACATTCAAATGATTGAAATGGGCAAGTGTTGATAAACATCCCCCAGTCACACTGTCACCCAGTAGCAGTTTGTCCCCAGTTGAACTTAAATGCCCTAAAACCGCGCTTGGTTTTGAAGGCACTCTACTCTTATTGGGAAGTCTTAACTATGGAACTTGCTTGGAGACTTCGCTCTATGATGGCAAAGTTATTTAAACATTAATTCAGCCTTGAACCACTCCTATTCAGTATACATGGTAAGTTACCCACATTTTGAAACTAATGAAAATAAAGTATGAAGAGGTTAAATGACTTGTCCAAGTCATACAGTGTGTCTGTTTCAAAACTGGCATCAGAGTTTGGGTTGCCCAACTCCAGTCCTGTGGTCTCACCTCTGGTTCATCTGCCTTCTTTTGAGTTCAATTCATATCTTACAAACTATAACCACAAATTGCAATTGCATCCTTCTTTATAGTACTATATGCTGCTCTCTTTGACTCTGTTGCTGGAATTGTGTTCATAAAGATGGTTCTAATTCCCTCCCCCCAGCCCCAGCAGCTCATTTAGTGAGAAACTGTGCATTAGTTTTTGCATGTCAGTATTCCCAAAGCTGCACATCCTCCTGCTCCCTGGGCACTGAATTGCTACCACTTGGGTCTCTAACCTGAATGGCTAGGGGTGCCTTAGATATAGATTCATAGGATGTAGATATTAAGACACCAAAATGGGGCCTGATACTTGGGTAATGGGAGTGGAGGGCAAATTCTGATTTTACATTTCTTTAAAGGTACAAACCTTAAATTCCCAAAGTTAAGGTTTTATTATTTTTTAACATTTCACCTCCTCCCCCCGCTCCCCCAAACGAAATAAAACTTTTATCCGTCAATCCACCTGAAATTTCTTAAATTTGCTCCTCCATCTATATAGAGACCTTTTTTAATAAAAAAAAAACAAAAAAAAAAAAAAAAAAGCTGGGGGTTTTTGGTCTTTTTGGGGTTGGGATTATACAACATATTTGAGGGAATGTTAGTAAAGTACTTCAATTTTAAACAGTTAAAAAAAATCTTTGTCAGTCTGAAAAGTGGCTTGGCCTAGGGACTTCAAATTTGTTTAATTTTAGTTGGCCTTAATGAGAACTGATGCCATCTAAATTTCATTATAGAATTAAAATCTTTAACAATATAATTTCTCTCCATGAATTGCAATAGCTGCTTTGGATCACATGAAGAAAGCCTAGCCTGAAAGATACCCTGGGGATATCCTAATAAGCTCTGGTATAGGTGAAAGGCACTGCATAGAGGCACTATAGACTAGTGGACTCAGTAGAGGGCTAAAAGCCAGAAGCGTATAAATTCTATTCTCCGCTCTTCCACCCTGTATAGCCTTAATAATTAAGCTTGTATAGCCTTAATAATTAAGCCTTGTGGTTTTTGTCCACTGATCTCGTAGAGCTGTGCAAAAATTAGTTATGCCTAATGGACTCCCCGTAAGGTAGGGAAGTAACTCATTGTCCACAAAAGTTGAATGATTTGTCCAAGGTGTTACAGCAAGTCTGTATCAGACTAGAATCTTGACGGTCAGTCCCTATACTCTAGTCTGGATCACATTACATCCCATGGAAATTCATTTAGGCAAGACTGTGAACCTCTCCATGGCTCTGTTTTTAATTTTTGTTTGTTTTTCCCTACCTTTTCTTTGTATCCTAGCTCTGCTACCTTCCAGAGCACATGGATGATAAAACCTAGGAAACAATGTGCAGCTTGACAAGTGGTATGGTTTGATGGGGTGGACTGGATTGAGCTAGTGGGGAGAGAGAAGTTTTCGCCATGCAAAAACTGAAAGGCTTAAGGTGGCCACCTCACAACTTCCAAGCAAATACACCAACAAAACACTGTGGTATTTTTTTTTCTATTGCCACAAAACAGTGAATTCATGAATAAAAATGTAAGGTGGAGTTAGGGTTGCAAATACCTTTTTAAGAAGGAAACTTTAATAGACTAATGTTGTTTAAAAGGTGAGAGAGCCAGGAAATTCAAAGGTAAAGTTACACTAAAAACGAATAACTCTATCAAATACTAGAAATTTTAGAAATATAAAGTTACAGTTCCACAAAACAGCCTTAACTCTGCCCTTCATCCAAATTGATGACATGGTCTGCACACCATTTATCTTCCATATTGACAGTATTCACAGAGTAAAAAATACTTAAATTTAAGTTGTTACTTAACATTCAAAATGGATGGATACCAAAGAAAATCAGCATGTATGTATGGGGGAATCAGACAGTCTGAGATTATGGAAATATTCAAATATCCTCACAGCCTGCAGACTCTTTTAAATGCATAAGAGTGAAATATCTCCTTAATCATTCAAAAAGCCAACCTTAACTATCCCCCTATTCTCACCTGTAGAACAGAAGTCTCTTAAAAAACATTTACCCTTTCTGCATCCCATGCGTTTCTGGTATGGGCTACAAACTAATCTGGCCCAGAGAGCATTCACAGATTCCTTAGCCCAATGTGACCAGAGGTCTCGACATCTCTTGTATTATACTCCATGGATGGAACAGATTTTTTTTTTCCTTCTAGCTCCAACATCCCAATTTTCTATTATTGTAAGGAGACCACTTTATATTAGTAGTGGTATTGTGGGATCATTTTAATAGCGCTATAGCACTGCCCTGCTACTATTCTTCCAGCAGAAGCCAGAAAACCTAGCCTTTTTAACCAACTTTCCACTATATATTCCATATTCATCTTCCTCATGTGAGCTGGGAATCACATGTCCTCTATTCTATATATTAAATGGAAAAAAACCCCTTTGTTATTGCAGAGTTAAGATTGTCCAGTGATCACTTGTGCCTTTTCAGAAGTTTGAATTTTGCTGAACTCTGTAAACCAGGAAATTCAGAGTAAATGCCCACACAACTTTGTCTGTCTTCCCAGAACTGGCATTGGCCACTGGGAATTATCTGCATGCACTGGGATAGGTGTAGCTGTCCTGAAAGGTGGAGGAATAAGTTGGAGCATTTTGGGGGGAGCTGTGGTTGTGATATGGGGAGATCTGAGTCCGAGTCCCCACATGTGTATCAAAGGACAGGTGCTTGTGTACCTTGAGGTTCCGGTCTGCATCATTTCAGTACAGAATTGCGTAGGCTGTCAGTGGCAGAGCCACTTCTTGCCATGGGTATTGGAAGTGTTGAGGTGGGATATGAGAGCAGTCTGACTTTAATGATGGATAGGGAAAGTATAGATTTAGGTGGGACGCTATGTGCAAGCATGATGGGGTTGTAAAAATTTTTCCACGTGTAGTTTTGAGCATAAGGCAGGTGCAGGTAGCACCTGTCCATTACAGTGAAAAGGTAGAGTTGGAAGTTGTGTTATGGGTGTATTGGGGCATCAGTCTAAGAGGAGAGAATTAAGATTATGTGACCATTTACCTTAATTCTGTATTTTCTGGTTTTCAGAAGCTTGAGTTTTGCTGAACTCTGAAGGGGCACAGGCTATCCCTGCTTAACTCTGCATTAACAAATCTTTTGCAATTTAATTTCCTCCCTTTTTTTAAGCAGAAAGAAAAATGCT